CCTGCGTGAAGAGCTGTCCCAAGAGCAGAGCACAGAAAGGAGGGTGTTGTTTTGCACTCCTGGAGCACCTCATGTGCCTGAGTAGTTTGGTAGTAAACCAAGTACAACCCAACACTTACACACAGCAGTTTGAGAAGGAAGAAGGAAGTATGTTACTAATGAAACTGATGAAATATCAACTCACAGCTCTAAATCCAATTGACTGCAACCTCAATCTCCTGCATTTCCAGATAAACATTTCATGATTACCGATCTCAAACTGGATATGTTATCCAAAATGTCATAGGGAAATGCAGACAGAAAACAAAGCTTCCTTCTGAAAGGTTACATTCAAACTGTCTTTCATATTTACAAATCCATATGGCTTCATAAATGAAAAAAAGCATCATGTGTGCAATTCCAGAAATACTTCTAAACTGCACACACTGCAAACCTTGTATAAACACCATAGATTTGTCTGCGCTGCCAAAGATTTGCAATAAGCTTTTGTTTACAACAGCAGAGAACTGTCCAATGCTTTTATTGTTTTGCCTGCTCTGAAGCACTTAGCAAACTTCCACTCTTCCTGTTAATTATGGAAGATGCTTTTTGTATTACATGATTTATTTAAAGCCTACTCAATCTCAATATATTAAATCCAGATTGTGAAGCATCTCATTACAATTCTTCTCCTTAGCATCTTTGGTCACTAATACAAATTTCACAGTACTACACCAAAGTCAGTACCCTTAATCAAGCATTTAGGAAGCAGCTTACAGAGATCCAAAACACAGTAGTGTCTCTGCTGTTAAAGGTCAAATACAATTGCCATTCTGACCTCGGTCTTAGCACATACAAAACCAAAACCATACACATATATGCTAGGGTTAAAATTTGGTTCTACTTTTTTTTTTTTTTTTTTTTTTTTAAGCTAATTAATTTTCCCAACTTTGAAAAGATTTGATTTGGCCATGCTTATACATTTTCCCCACTCCTTTAAACAACAAAAACATGGTTTTAGTGTTTTCAGATGTTGAGATCTTTTATGCTAGCTAAAGACACTGATTTGAGTAGAAAGAACCAGCCATCAGCCAAAGTCCAGCCTTTTGAAGATAATACAGCTACGTGACAATTTCTGGCAGTTGGCTATGGAAAAGTCAGGATCAGCTGGTGTCTTATATCCTGCATCATTTTTCACATAAACGTGTGACATCTGGCTCTGAAAGAAATTTCAGTTCATCTTTTAGGCTCACCAGTGTGCCCCTCTCCTCTCACTCCTCTGCATATGAAATTTTGTAATCATTTTAACTTCACATTTTACACAGCATATAGCCAAGATGTCAAAATTCAAAATAAATTTGGGTATAATTCATTGTCAGTACCGAACTACATTTGTATGGGCATATGCACACTACTTCAAACCACAGAAAACAAAACCAGAAAAGATCAAAGTCAGACCTTTTCCACTTAACTACTAGGAAAAAACTGCAGAATGGAACAAGGAAAAAAAGAATTAGAATCCGAAACCTTCTGTACATCAACAAGAGATGCTCTAAAATAGCTACTGGCAAGGAGGGCAGGTGCCAAATTTACAGCTGGCACTTCTAAGTTTTAGCAAAGTATCTCCATAACTTAAATGCTTATTGAACAAATGCATACGTCCACCCTGCAAAGTCTATCAGTCAATGTTACTTCGTCATACCTTTTCTAAAGCAGCACTCTGGAGCCAAATAAAAGCTGACAGCTAGAAAAGCAGCTAACAAGCCATGGAGGAGACGTTCTGAAGTCATTCTAGCACCTAAGACATATAAGCCTGCATTAGCACGTAACGTCTAGAAGTATTATAGATTGTCTGAATTGATATTACACTGCACAAGAGCACTGTCAGTTTGTTTGACGTTCAACACCACCACAATAAATAAAAGGCAGTAAGATGTTTGGACCAATTAAATCTATTAATATTGTATATTAATTGATAAACATTTTATGGTCAGCTACATCACTATGTGTTTTAGAGCAAAACTACTGAAATTACTTGGAATAAAGCATTCCTGGTTTTCCAACTGAGCACCAGTGGATATTCTCAATAATTCTGAATCTTAGAACTCAAAAGAACAACTTACACACAAAAAAAAAGGCAAACAAATTTCTATACGAGGCAATGGTAGAAGAAACCAAAACAAACAATAACCAACCACTGCTTATTCTTCAGCTTTCCTCTAACTAAAGAAGAGTCAATGCAAGCAGTGGCTTCTATCTTCCACACATAATTTCTCATCTTTGAACTCTCTGTTCTTTTGCCATACCCTGCACTACATGCTTCCTTGAACCAACACTGCCAGACTTTATTAAGAATATATGATTTCTTACAATATCTTGCCTTCTGTTACTTAAATCATGCCTTTAGATGCTCCATATATTGTAAGCATTAATCTCCCATTTAAAAAAATTAGAACAAGTTATAAACAGTAAGATCCAAGTAAGTGGAGAGACATCATAACAGTGTTATGGAGAGCAATAGTGAACAACTACAGAGATATTTTATTCAAAATATACTTACTGTTATGCAGAACCATACCATACAACACATTTCACAAACAAAACTGCTCATTTACTTCATTAATGCTGATGAATTCCTTTCAATATCCACCCATGTGAAACTGCACCAATCTAAAATAATATCCACCTGAGGTTATGTTCTGTGCCCTTTCAATCACTTCCACAGAGGAGTGTGGGAACAATATAATTCAACTGTTATTTTGAATAAAAAACTTTTATTCCTGGCAAAATACCATATATCAAAATTACTCCTGTTTTAAAGTCAGACTCAATGCAGCTGCTTTGTTTCAAAAAAAACTTAATGGTTACTTTTGCATCCATTTCAATAGATCAAAAACGAATGTTATTCCAGAATTGAAGCAATATATGCAATTTTTATTTGCTATTTGAAAGAAATTAAATGGAAAAAAGCCAATTTTTTTTCAATTCAACCATCATACTTTCTTCATTAACATTTTGCAATGTTTGACAATACTAAACAAAATAGCTTTAATATTACCTAAAATGTTGCAATTTAGCCTTTATAAATTATGCCAAATTTTCCACAGTTCATTCTCCTAAGCCTACTGAGTCATAGCAAAAAAAAAATAAAATAAAGAATATATATATCAGATTTATAGTTCTGTCCTAAAAATGATTTAGGCTAAAACACCGACAAAAAGTTGCGAGTTTCCAGGCCTCCCTTTCGTACCACATTCATTTAGGAAATATTTTAATGACAGGCAATCTTAAAAGAGAAGCAGAGAGAGTGTGTTTAACAGGCCAAGTTAAAGAGTTCAAAATAAAAAAAAAAAGAAAAGGAGAGAGAGAGAGACTTTCCAACATCACATACTCAAGCAGATGCTATTAAAGGTATCATATTTCCTAACTTCTGGTTTCACAAGATGCATTACGTTCATCTGGTAAGAGAGCAAGCTCTACAGAAAAGCAACACATTAAGAGAACGCTTCAGTCTTTATCATTTCTGGTTCCTGATAACAAGTCTGACTCCCAGACTTTTTTTCATAACTCATTTCATAATTTAACTAAATTTATCTGAATTAAATATATGATAATTACGTTAAACTGAAACTTGGTAGCTAGGGTACTGACTATCACAAACAACGTATAACCTGAACAAGCTGTTTTCTGCAGCATCAGGCTGTGCTCAATTATGGAAAATTAAGAAATGTGTATATAAATATTTATTTATTCACTTATTTTGTCTCCCTACCTCCAAGAAGTGTGAAATGAGTCAGTCGTGACAGAACTCTTGCCCTGGAATATAGGACTAGGAATTGGAAAAGTGGCCCGTAATTAGAATTTAAAACTCATCCCCCTTACTGTTAATAAAGTGAGCTTTGTAAATGAACAAAAAACCCTGAGTTAATTCATTTTGAAAAGATCAGTGCAACAATTAAACAACTTAAACAAAAGCCTAATCCTGAAACCATGCGAAACAGCTTTAGCCCAGCATATGCTCAATACTCCAGAGTTCTCTTCAAGAATTGCTAGTGTGAACTTAAGTCTTTAAAGCTATGTTGGAGAGAAAATCAATTAGAAAAGTCCAACAAATGCCTTACAGATTATCAAGCATAAAAGAAATCTGCTTCTTCAGTTATCAAAAAAGCATTCCAAATCAGCATGTTATTTCTTTATAGTCACCTACAAAGAGTAATTCCCAGAAGTATTTCAGTATTACAGAAATTCAGTTCTTCTCCTACCATAAGCAAACAAAATTAACCTAGCCTCATGACAATGCTCCATGACCCAAATAAGAGTAGCAAGCTCAAAAAGTATTAGTTTTGCTTTTTCTCATATATAACTTCACTCTCCTGCAAGACTTGTAGTTTCCTACAAGCTCGATTTTGCATTAAGATGGTTTTTAAATTAATAAATTGTGTTTGATTGCCATCAAAAGCAGAAGAAATCTAACTGTCTAGTTTCCTCCATCAAGTCCAGCATGATACCCTGGAATCTACTGGTATCTATCAGTGGCACTATGCAACCTTAAATGAAATGGAGCTAAAAAGAAAATTATGACCTAACACAATTCTAGAAATACTCTGGTTCTCAGAGAGAACAATTACAACTTCCATTAGAATCTAATCTAATTAAATTTTATTTAACTTTATAAATAAGGATTATAAACAAATCTTTCTTCATGTACATACTAGTTATAAAAGTTGCCAAGATAAAGTTCTTACAAAAATGTTGTCCAGACTCCAGTGTCAATGATGGTTCTGATTTCCTTGTTGAGTGCTTGTACATTTTCTTTCAAGCATGATCTATCATATAATATCAAGTCAATTCTGTTTAAGAATATACTTTAATTCAGGAAGGTACCATTTCATTTTGGTCTTTTTCTGTCTTTTTTTTTTTTTTTTTAAGAGTTTGTTTTTAATCATGAAATATAAGCAATCATTAGAAGTGTGGTAGAAAAATGCCAGACTATGTATAAGTATTGAACATGAGATACTTACAGTCGTTCGAGTTGCTTTAGATCCTGAAATGCTCCACGTTCTATCACACTGATCTGATTTTCTTCCAAGTGTCTGCAATTCCAGAAATATCAATTAATTTTAATGCAGCATAACTGTTCCCCCATTTCACACGTGTTAAACAATAGCTTTTCACAGAAGTAACAGTTCAAGCTCTTTAGGTCACTAGCAGGAAATGGATTAAAAATTTGGGTCCTTACTGCCAGATTAAGTAACCATTTTTGTTCCAAAAACATTTGTAACCATCATGTTCAGAAAGATGTGGGTTTAGACTGATTGTTACATTCTCAAGTACATACTTTTAGCTTACCTAATGTTACTGAGAAAGATGACTGAATCCTACAGCCAATAGCAGAAAAATCAAGGTAAAAATTCTTTGTCCGATCCTCATGTTCTGCAAAGATTTCAGGCTTACCACAGAGTAAGCTATTTGTAAGCAATCCAAAGCAGTTTGGTCTCTTGCATCCATACCAGCTATGTTTGACAACAATACACAGTCTGTACATCAGCGTGAAAAATAAGAGAAAATTCCCAGATTTCCACTATCCCCAGTGTGGGACCTTGCTTTTCTTCACCCTCTGAGGCAAGGATACGCAATAAACAACAGAAACCAACTTCTCTTTGATTTACACTGTGAAGGAAATGACTACTCATTCACACAGCAGAAGTGCTCTTCACAGGTAAAGTGCAAGGCAAGCAGCAGATATATCATTTTAGCTAACCTTCTCTCTCAGAGCTGACTTCCAGCACACACTGAGTTCTGCTTCCGTAAAAGCACTCAGATAACAGTACGGACTCCAGGCCCTCTGAATACTGTACATGGCTTTAGCTAAGATAACAGAAAGAAAGAATGTAAATCATAGTAAGCTTGGCTTCAGACCAGACTGTAATAAGTGAAAATGCACTCCTCTCTGCAGTAGCCACTCCTCTGCACCCAATGCTAGGATTCTCAACTGAACAGTAATTGTGAAGAAAGACAGCAAAAGACAAGTCCACAGCATTGAAAACTGATAGAAAAAAAAAAAAAAAATCAAAAAGAAATGCAAACAAATGAAGTCTGTTCCTAAAAGGAAGAGGGGAAAAAAAAATACAAAGTTATAAGATACAAAAGAAAAAGGAATATTTTCCATCTTTGTTGTCAGTTTGAGACTGGCAGCTTTCTTGTGTTGCACCACTCTACCAGATTCTGAGCCATTTATTTGTTCTCCTCATCATGAAGTCTTTAAAGAAGACTAGACCACCTGTCTAGGCACTCTGAAACAAGTTTCCTATTTCTGCTTCTCCCAGTGTATTCCCATCACACATGGAGAAAAAAAGAGGAAAAGAGTGGGTTGTTAATAATGGAGAATAGCTTTCTCTTATGGCCTTCCTAACTCTAGCTAAGTAAAATGAAGGAAAACGTGAAGGACTTCTGAAGACCCAAAGTTCAGCAGCACAAAGTGGAAGAAAAACCTCAACCACATACTAGATATGTCAGGGACATGAAAAAGTAAATATATGACAAAGTCCTACAAAGAACAGATTAGCAAACACCAAAATAGCATATCCTGGGCTGCAGATAGTCGTAAGGCTTTGTCAGAAGACAAAACCATTAGAAACTATGGAGTTTCTAATAGACATGTTCTGCTTTTATTCCTGATAACTCTTATGACAAAAACACCAGACACCATTCAGAATGGCTAAACATTACACAAACCTAAAACAAGCACAAAACAAAATATTCAGATCAAGATTGGCAATTGCATATTTTGTTTTTTGTTAAGGATGTTCAGTTTAGGTGTCTGCAGTGACATTAGGTAGTATCTAACTATAGACAGTAGAAAAAGGCAACAAAACCATCTACAGTACGTGTAAACAGTACTAAATGCAGGCTTTCAGCCTTGCTGATATTGACCACTGCAATAGGAGCCAAGGAAATCTAAATGACTCCGCTGCTAGGTTTGAAATGCTCTCTTGGTTCAATAGTACTTAGATAGAAGCAGAAAAAACTTGCCTTTTTCTTGGCAGATTTCAATTAATTTATCAATTGAATTATCAGTAATTTAATGCAGCAGTTTTAGGGACTTATTTTAAAAGGCAATCAAAGGAAAAGACCAACTGCAGAGGGCAATCAAACAGAAGTTTTGAAGGGGTGCTGGCAGACCTATGTGTTTAACTTCTGAGAGCTGTTTCAGGAAAGGAGTTAACAAGAACATGAAAACCAAACTGGCTCTATCAGCACTGGGACTCAAAATTAGGTTCCTGCCTTGATTACTAAAACTAGTAATTAGGTACAACAGTTTATAAACTGCTTCCAGTGAAGCAGATGACATACACAGCATGTAGACACTTGATAAGGGCACCTGATAAACAGGTAATTCTTTCAGAAAACTAATATTAAAGCGAAAAATTTGAATTTTACCCCCTTGGTTACTGTTAGCAGAAAGAAAAAAAAAGAAAAATCACATTTCAGAAACATTTTCAAAAAAACATCTTAGTCATAGCTTTTAAATACACATTAACACATCAGACTTTCTCTGATGTTTGCAATGTTTCTCACTAACACTTGCAAATTTGCATTTCTCCAGTAGCACTCAGTGCCCAAATACAAGCTACATGCAGGCAGAAGGCCATCAGTACATTAAGAGAGCTCTGGAAACATCCAGAACCTTGCAGCTTAACCTTAACTCATTACATTGCTTTCAGTACTGTTTCTCTCATCTAGCTTTTTCCCCCACTTCATAGGTGCACGAACAACTAAATCCATATATTTGGATCTCTATATAAAAGTAATGCATAAAACCTGCTTTTCCCAAGGAAATAGCAGATTCCCTCTGTATTTATGGAAAGACACCAACATCTGTGTCTGCCTCTATACTGATCTGGAGGGAATCTAGGTTATTTAATGTAATTCAGGAAGTCAGTCAGAGAAGATTCAAGGGACAAATGAATTCCATTCAAACAGAAAGAACCTCTAACTTTTCCAGGAAGAACTGAAACATTTATTTCTATGCACCATTACTGAAGATAAAAATTGATTACTCACTTGTATACTTAAATTCACCAAAGCTCTAAGGTAAATGCTCATGTACTCTCCATGATATTCAAAGACATCTTAACAACACTCTTTGCTAATTAACCCCAGATATGACATTCCCATCTCATTCAAAACCTAGAGTAAATATGCCAAAGTTCTTAAGTAACTAAGGAGAAATAATAAGTTAATGAGAAAGCATCAAATGTATTTCCTGTTCTTTTGTTCCACGATGTAAAAATAAAAAATAACTGAAAATAACCTATGTATAGCTATACTAGATATCTATGAAGTAGTTCTATATTTCATCACTAACTATATGGCCCTTTTTGAGGTACATAAAACCAAAACAAGGAAGTTAAGAACTAATTGGCTTAAAATAGGCTGGTATTAGAAAAAAAAACTGTAGATTAATGTTTTGCCTTCTGTTGTCCAAGGCCCATTTGGAACTAAAGCTGAACTCCTGACTGATGCTTCTAGATCAAGAGACCCCCTAATTTTTTTGTATTTATTACTTCATATTAAAAAAAAAAAAAAAAAAAGAACTCATAGGTTTCCTTGTGTACAACTTCCACAGCTAATAACTGTTCTGAAGTTACTCTTAATCTGCTGCAAATGTACTGAAGTTAACAAGATGAAAGTCCTATTTTCTCATGTTTCAGTATAATTTATTTATGCACAAGCTAACTGTGAGGTGGACCAAAACTATTACAGCAGTATTTGTTAAAAGCCATTAAGAAACCCAAAGAATCAAACAGCTCTGGGACTACATTCATTCAGACTTGATCATGGAACTAAAATTAACTTCACAAACCATTCCAATTGCCTACTCTAAAATACTACCACTAACTCAGTAGTGTGCAGAAGTTATTAACATCTGATCTCTACAATTATCAGCATCCTTAGTACAAGCAGCCCAAGATAATCTTTTCAAGAGGGATGAGTTTCATGTTATACTCACAAGACACGGAGATTCTTCAGTCCTGAGAAGTCCATCTTTGTGATTCTCGTTATATTATTTTTTTCTAGATCACTGTAAGAGAAAAAAACAACACAGCACTGAGAAATTGTAACTGACGTCCAAAGTTCTGTTAGGTGAGAGCATCTCCATCAGTGCAGTTTCTACGAGCTGCTCAAATTGTACAAACTAATATTTCCACTGAAATCTGAAAAAGTGGTTCCTTTGTCCGGCCTCTTCCTCTTAAACTTCACTGCTCTCTCACAAGAAGTTTTTTCAACTTCTATATTGGTGCTCATGTGCTATACTTTTACATCACCCTCAAGACAACAAACTTTTGAGAGCCAAAAATATGTTCAAAACCTGATTTTTATGATACAGCTGAAACACAGTACTCTGCCCCCAAATGAACACTCAACTCTGGAGTTCTTCCAAGCCCAAGTGATGCCTGATGCACAAAGTTTGGCTAACTACGGCTTGATGAGAGAACTAGAAAGCATAGGGCTACCCTCACAAATAAAAGATTTGTAGTTACAGAACTTCTCCCTCTAGCATTATAACTAGGCAGGCTCTCCAACCCATTTTTTGGAAATGCCAGTTATCAGAAGATACTGTTAATAACACCGACCTGTTGCCCATGCTTATCACAACTTGCCAATTTGCATCTTCAATCTTCACTTGAATTCTGTATTTCCTAACACATCTGTTATGTGTCAACACATTTTCCTCATGTAGTCACATACCAAATATTACTTCCTGCACTGTTTCAATTTGTGATAATTTATGCTCTACATTCCAAATTAATAAGTAACTGGCATCTTATCTACAAAAAGAAAAACCCACTGCAACCAGATCTTGGGCTGTCCAATTTTTTTGTAACGAGCACACCGAAAACACAAAAGAATTTCCTATCTAAAACATGTACCTTAATAGACATTAAAACAAAGTACTCTTCAGCTTGAGTCAAATTCTATTTAAGTCTAAAATACACCAAAATAAAAATGAAGGAATCCATAAATCAATCCTACTCTAAAGAATCTTATTAAAGCTTGTTCTCGGTACACTAAACTGCAGTGTAACCACAGAATAACACCTCATTTCCCAACGCAGAGTCGTTCTGTCATTACAGAAGTGTCATCTTTTTCTTCAAAGCAGCAACTGCTGATATGGGTGTACCATAGGTTCTGTGCTGTTTCTCTCCTTTGGATTTGCCCTTTCAGGCACCTCCAAAAGTCCTCCTGATTGAGCAACTTCTGTTGATCTTCTTTCTTTCCTGCCCAGACTGTTCTATGTGACTTAGTGCTAATCACCAGGAATGAGGAACAGCTAGATTTTATCCCTAGTACTCAGTCAGGCTTATTTTAGCATAAGTAAAATTCAGCAAACTTAACTTTAAAGCAGGTATATTGCTTCAATTTCACACCACAAGTATGTTCTGTCAGTTTCCTAGATACAAGAAGTACTTCAAAAAAAAAAAAAACAAAAAAAAAAACTTAATACTGAAGGTTTTTTTTTTCCATCTGATTCATATTTCATGCTGAGTAAAATGCCACTAAATATAATTAAAAAAATACAAACATGCAAGCTCTTGGGTTAATAATTATGTTAATAGAAGACTGAGTATTTTTCTAAAGATCACAAGATTATAAACACATGCCAACAAGTTTTATTGTCTATGGATGAAAACAGTCTGATACAAAAGATTATTACGAGGCTTGACATTTCCTAAAAGACAACAAAATCATAAATTTACAGAGAAAGTAGAGAATTGTCCTGTGAAATTAAATTTTATCATAGTTCCTATATTAATGTGTACTCTACTGCATATACAAAGGCTCCATTTCTTTTCCTTTTCTAATAAAACTCAACAAGATAAAGGAAACTAACAGTCCTATTCTCATGCACATTTGCCAATCATCTGAAACCTTGACCCTGAAATAATTCCTAAAAAGCAGGTGAGTGTTTCAAGTTGAATATTTCTGCAGGTTCAAAAAGGAATCCAAGGAAGGGCTACAGCTTGGAACTTCCAGGTATGCTTCAGGTGTCCCCTCTGTATTCTGAGAAACGCTGCCTATCTGGCTAACACTGCATGGCTTCTCAGTGCCTCACAAATAATACTGCAAAGGAAATGTGAAAGCTTCCAAAGTAGAACAGTTAAATCATATGAAATCTTTCATATACTGTCCTACAGGGGAAAACAAACAAAAAAGAACAGTGTTAAAATGTTGATGTGTAAGTAACTAGGAAAAATAATCTTTGATCCTTCCATCAAATATAAGTAAGAAAATTTGGCGATGTTGTCCTGGCTAGGACAATAAAAATAATAATAATAATAAATAATTTTTTACCATGCAATTCCACACAAGCCTACAGTACAGCTGCTATTTAAACCAGTCTTTTTTTCCACCTCACCTCTGTCAGCAGAATAGATGTACTACTACTAAGAAATATGCAAGTGTTCAAGAAATGCTTAAAATAATTTACACTGAATCAAAAGCTTTTTTTTTTATGAGAACAAGCATATTATTCTACAGCATTAAATAAAAAGCACTTGTCATAGTATCTAATTTCATTTTTCTAGTGTAAGTCACGTTGTCAAAGAAGGAGCAGTTGGGTATGTTGAAATTTAAGCTTGTTAAAAGGTATATTTTCAACACTCAAAGAAATAGAACTGATTTCTTAGCATAACTGCCATGTTCCCCAAATGCTTCTAAACACGAGAATAGTTTCTTCTAATATGAATGTCATCCTTAATTAAACAAAATCTTACATACATGGATGAGTACGGGTAACTGCACTCATTTGTCAGAGGAAACGACTCTTCAAATTGGTAAACATATATAATTGTTTTCTCATGTGTTCCCTAAACCTCATCTGCAAACCAATTTGGAATTAAGCTCCTTTTAATGTCATTTTGACATGCTGATGCATTCACTTACTGTAACTGAAAGGTTAAATGAACAAAACAAAAACCTACACACAGCTCTGTATAGACCTCACCACAACTGAGTGCAGTCGGGCACTCAGATATCAGCAATAATGACAATTAAGCTTGGAGTTTACAATGACCAAAACAAACAAATCAAAAAAAAAAAAAAAGAAACTCACCCTAGCCTGTCTACAAGATTTGTGCCAGGGTCAAAGGAAGCTACAGTGTGAGATCTTCATCTTTTACCACTGCAACTTGATTTGCCAGAGACTTCATGAAGAAAGAATACATTATGGATCGTTTAAAAAGCTCGAGTCCTAAGATTCAAGTCCAGTTATTCTACATTTTCCATAATGGTAAAATTTTCACTGATTTTTGCTATTAAAAATGGAAGCCATATAGTGTTCTCATATTTTCAACCTAAGGCATAAGCAAAACATTACCAGAACTGAAACAGTATGTAAGATACTCTACTACCAACAATTAGTAACAACTATTAGGTCTGTAACACTGAAATGCATTCCTTATAGTTACTGGTAACAAAAATCTTCAGCCATGAAATGGTTTAGAAAAACAGAATAAACTGTTGAGTTGGTTTATGCATGTTAAGACAGTACATACTTTTACAATAGAAGAAAGAAGTTATTCTGTTCCCTTATCAAAAACAAGGGATAATGATAATGAGACGTAGGTGGAAAAGAATCCCTACATTTTAACTGTAAGTAGAAGAAATAAATGATCCTTGATACAGACAGGTAGGTCTACTATACTTAAGAATAATTAAAGTAAAAAACAAAACAAAACAAATACATTTTAAAATGCCCACAAAACATCATCAACAACAACAAAAAAAGAAAATACCACCACACCACACAAAACAACAACAGGGCATTTCCACAGTATGTAACAGCCACTGAATCATGCTCTTCTCAAGGAATACCTTAGAGGCATGGCCTACATTTTTTCAGATTTTCCAGCTTCATTTCCTCTGTGTTTGCAGTTCAGTTTTTTGACCCTGGTGCATCATTAACTGGCACTGGCATGCCAAGTAACCTGACTGCAAAGGCACTGGGAAGAATTAACTCTGGAGCAAGCAATGCATAAATAGCTTGGTGTTCTATTTGCATGTTGTTTCCCATCTGCTTTTTATGCCATTCCTTTGAAGGTGTTCCCTTGCCTGTGTCTAACAAAAGTTCTACCAAAGCACAGCAATCGACAGGTCAAAATTCTCCCGAGTCAACTTAGCCAGCTGAGGGGCACACAAAGCAAAGAGAGCCACTACCCCCTTGTTTTGCCCATTGTGATAAGCCTTAATTCTCAGCACAACGCATTCACTCAGTATGAACAGGTGTGCATAGACTTTCATTCCTGTCACACATACAGAACAGCTCTTTTCTTCCCCTCTTCAAGCCTGTGAGACCAATCCCACACATCAACTTCGTTCCTCTCTTCCTTCAGCCCCAGGAACATTCCCACCATTCGGCACTATCCCCACAGCCGGATCTGCAGCACTCTGTACTGAGAAAGGCTTTCTTGAATGCTCTTTGATCAACACACATCCTTAGATTGCTTTTTCCTCCACTCCTGTAGAATGACACAGCATACACTGCATATATAAGATCAATCATCCTATTAAATCATCCTGAACATTAGTAGCTAAGTTAAAGCTTCCATTTCAGCAAGTAAAGCTACTTGGACAGCACCCTAAGCTGCAAGACAACCCTTCTTCATGAAGTAAACTTACTTTAAACCTTTGGATTTTATTGATAACTGCTTCCCCTGCATTAAAAAAGCAGTCTTTACCTTCTGAACACCTACCTGTTCAAGCAAGCTTTCCCTCAAGGCTCCTCTGCCATTTGAAGTAAAATAGACTAAAACCTTGACGAACTACTATGTAACACTTCCTCCTCCTGTTCAGAGTAGGTCTAGCACTGCTGCAAAACAGCCCATTGCCACGGGTTACCCCCTTACTCAACTAAACTTTGTTACCGTAAAGTTATTGAACTGTTGCAGACTTCAGTGGTTTACAGCTGGTATTTGTGGGCAACTTAATATTTTATATTTCCCTTATAAAAAGTCTGACAGCTGATTATGAGCCCACTAGTGGGTTTCAACTACAAAAAGCTAAACCTTAACATCTGATCTC